CTCTAGTTATACTGCCATTGTGTCCACTAGCAAGACACTTAATCTCCAATTTGCCTATTTAACTGTGTATCCCAGGGTTTGGCGTCAAAATAGTCCCATAATACAACCGCACGAGAAAACTTGTGTTTGGGAGTGTTGTATGATTTCACACATGCAGATATTAACTGTGAGCGAGCAAATTATCTGTGCTCGTGAGAAGAAATATGTAACCAGCGTGAAAAACAACCACTGGGCGGCAAGACAACAAGCTCTCTCGCAGTTGATTTCTGCTCGCACAAGATTAATTTCTGCTCCCTACTGGTTTAGACCTGGTTTAGTCCTGTTTTAGGCTACGTTTATATGATGACGACGGTCTGAACAGAAGACGCAAAAGTGTCGTCATGTCTTCACTTTTTTTCCACATTTAGACGAACGTTTTAGGGAGGAAGTCTGTGTGCATACAGTGGCGCAAAAGCGTGCGGAATTCAATTGGGTATGCATGTCAGGCGGCATTCACATAAAGCAACAAGGGCATCTTTGGACAAACGCCATGCATTTTCATCAGCTACTCCTTCCACAAAATTGTCCCACCATTGACTGGTTTTCCAGGTCTCATCCTTATCTGTCTGGCTCACCTGAGACGAACTGGTGCATTCAGAATTTGACAGAGATGATTGCAGATAAATCTCTGTTCACTAAGAGTATCTCTGAATATTCTGTTCACTTGTTGGGGCATTTGTTTCTGTGTACTATATGTATGTGACGGAAACGTGTACACGGCGTGAGCAGATCTGACTAGAGTTTTGTGTCTTGGGCAACGCTACGGCGGAGTGTATTCAACTTGTCCACTCTGAAGGGAGGTTTCAGATTTTTGCGTTTTTAAGCCCCAAAAATGCCGTCACCGTCTAAACGAAAGGCACTTCCGATAAAATATTTTGTTGTTTTTTTAACTGCAAGTGTTCTTGTGTAAACAGGCCCTTAGTCCTGGTTCAGACGTAGGATTAGTCTTGCTTTGGTTCGTATGCGGCGCAAAAGTCCGGCTTCACAGTTTAAGTCATGTTCATTTATTAATTTTGAAAAACGAATGATACATGGATAGAGAAATCCACCTCGCACAAGAGAAAATAGAAAACAACTTTGAGAGAGCAGAAATGAATCTCACACAAGCAGAAATCAACTTCAAGAGAGCTGGTTGTCTTCTCGAGGGTGCGTCTGCCCCCAGTGGTTGTTTTTCCTGCAGGTCACAGATTTTTCTTCGCGCGCAGATTTAATTTGCTCGCTCACAGCTAATATCTATGGTGTGAAATAATACAATATGCCCGAATGCATGTTTTATCGTTTGTGTGTATTATGGGACTATCTTGATGCAAGACTGGGCAGCAGTGACTACAGTAGTATCTTATTATCACCTAATATAAAGGAAATGAATGTAAAGCATCACTGGGTCTGAAAAAATAACTTTTTAAAACACCAAAATTAGATTTAATTTACAAATAAAGAAGTCAAGAAGTATCAGTGTGATGGAGTGAGTGCAGATGGCGTATATGTGCATGATACTGCATATGTAGAGGTCTGAAAATGCTCTTATTCATTTTTCTCAATTTTATCTGTGAATAAATTCCTCTTCTTCTCCACTTCCCTGTAGACACTTTCACACAGACCAAGTGACTATGCCAAGTCCTGGATCCTCACTGTAGCATCCCTCTTGCTTTAATCTGACACAGAAGTCAAGTGGTCCCTGTCCACTCTGGCCCTCTCCGACTGATGCACTATCTACTCTCACCGCCTCTGGGATATTTATTACAATATGTCCTCCCCCTAATTCATCATGTAAATATTGTCCCCATTTGTTGAAACACGGAAATGCGGCGCTCTGGCTGTCTCTACCTCCGCTGTCAGTGAGAAACGATGAGTCAAAATCGGTCAGGGTTAACCAGGGTCGGTATTCATGAAGCCAAACTTAGATCTGTCTCACTTATTCTCCCGGAGTCGCCATGGACAGCAGTGTAAGAGCTTTATCACTGCACTAGAGGGCAAGGAGACTGAAGAGTACACTCTTTAACTTTGCCAGACAAGCTGAAGTAAGTTCTGAAATTAAAATATCTTTTTTCATAATTTGCTAAATGAACCTTGGGCATCGCTCCAATATCAGATACATATAGAGGAGGTCGACTTTTTTATGTTGTTCTTACCATTGGGTTAAAACTTACACATCATGTCTTCATGGATCCAGGACTTTTATTTGGTAAAAACATTAGCATTCCACAGGTTGGCATTCCTTCTCCTGGTGACAATTGAACTGTTAATCTTGTTGTTTCTGGGAGTACAACTTTACCAACTGAACTACTGCACTGAACCCTCATTGAGTGCATTTACATGCACATCAGTATCCCGGTTTCATCATGGTGCATGTATACACAGTATCCCGGGTTTCAGTATCCCAATTATGAGAAACCGAGATACTGTAGCTGGTATATTCTGATAGTAACCGCAATACTGTGGCATGTATATGCAGTATTGCAGTTACTGCAACAGTAATTGCATCCAGAAGACAAACACATTTGAGTCTTTTCATCACAATGACAGCCAACATAAATAAAGTGATCAAGATAAATAAAGTGACCATACATGAGTGAAATGACTGTAAAATTAAGAGCTGAGCTAAACCTGCACTCGTACGACCTGCACACGTACGAGCTCTGAAAATTTTAACATGAACCATCTCCAACTTGATATACCGCACAGAACAGACTCACCATCAGCAGCACATCCTCTGTCACTGAGTCCTGTCCTTTAGTCCGACAGAAGCTGACTGCATCAGGGCACAAGGAAAGAGCTGTTTTTTTCAGCGCTTATAATTTATGCAAATTAGCCATGTGCTTTCAAGTTTTGTTTCTGTAAAATGTAAACAAATGTGCGCAAGGCTGACTTATGTTAGTGGCTCTATAGTGGTTATGGTTTATATGTTGTAAAGTTGAGTTTATTTATGCAGAAGATTTTAATTAAGAATCTGTTGTAGTGTGTTTGGAAAGTTTGGTTTGATCTGTGTAGTGGCTTGTGGGATATCTCATAGCTCCTTACTGCTGGTTAGGAACCTCCCGAGCTTCCTATGCTGAAGGTTGTGGTTGTTTGTATTTTTCCTTTTTTTTTTTTTTAATATATAATTTTTGTGCTTGTGCATTTGTAAGATTATGTCATTATGTCATTTGATCATGTATAGAGGGATATGAGTATCCTGGTTTCTCAGTGTGCATGTATAAACAGTATCCCGAATACTGCAATAACCAGGATACTGATGTGCATGTACACACACTCCTGTAGCATTCCTCCTGATAGTGGTGTTGGATTGTTAACCATCTGGGCATATAAGCATTATGTCATTTTTCTGATGTGGAGTGTTCGCCACACACTTTGCCCAAAAATTACCCAATCTGGCATTAAGCGTATATATCTTGCTTTCATCCACAAGTGTTTTTATTGAAAAATACATGCATTCTTATTGTGGGTGGGCTTGCCGCTCTACAGATCTGACTTGTAATTGAAACATTCTAGGCAAAGCAATAACATTTCCATGGAGAAAAGTTACATAGTGCACCAGACTTATTTTCCAAAATTGACTTTTTAAAGCTTTTAACCATGTTTTTTACTCGCCTGATTTTTAGAGTGATTTGTGCATGTTTGCGCAATCTTACATCACTTATTTTCAAGATAGCATTTTGCTGATTAATCCTTGTTTTTCTCCTGCTCTCTTTTGTCCAGTGGACTAAATTATTTTTTTCTTTTGCTATGGATCCTACCTGGATGACTAAGGGATTACACGGACATGCTCTGTACTTACTTCGAATCTCCAATTTTATTTTATTTTATTATTATTTCATAGTCATTTTAGTACAAAAAAAAACAAAAAACATTACATTAACACTGGGTGGGTTGACAAACTGATCCGTAAAGCTGGTCACGTGATCGGCTGTGAACTGGAGACATTTGTCACAGTGAGGGACAGGAGGACACTGGACAAACTGCTCTCCATCATGGACACTCCTGCTCAGTGCACCAGACTATAGAGGGACAGATAATACTCCCTACAACTGTAGAACAACTCACACTTATGTAATAGATAACCCTATGTCCTGTCAATCATATCATTGTTGCACTGTCTTCTTATGACCTCTTGTATAAAGCTGTGATTTTATTGTTTATCTTTCTATTTTATTTGTACATTTACATTTACATTTATATAATTACATCATTTTAGATGAATATCCCATTTTACAGTGTGCAAATCATAACATAATGATCCTTATGTGTCATTACAGCTATAGCAGACACAAGCACAATAGGTCTTCTTTAAACCACATTATTGTTTTTTATGCTGTACAATAAATGGTCATGGTCACATTTTTATATAGCGCTTTTCTACCTTCAAGGCGCTCAAAGTGCTTTACATCAGGGAACCACTCAGACATTGTGTCCAAAGACACAATGACAGTGTTCATCTGTGGGAGCTGAAATCGAAACATCGAACTTGTGGGTCTGAGCGCTCTACCAGTGTTTATGTCAAGAGCAGGATTCAAACCGGCAACCTTCCCAAAACCTAGTCCAGAAGATGGACACTTTTTACTACACTGTACAATCTACACATATGCTTACATTATAAATATGCTTCATTTTCACTATAGAATTATTACTTATACTTGATTTGATTTGCATAACAGAAAAACATTATTTCTATGAAGATTCATATTGTTTACCAGGGTCACAGACTTTAGTGTTTTCATTTCAAAACAACATTAGCATACATTAACTCAAGTATTCTTTCTCATTTGAACTAAAACTCGTATCTGCTGTAATAATGTTTAATGGGCGTGTGTATAGTGCACTTTATAGTACAGTGTCACAGCAGGGAGAAATGACATCCACTTTCATTATATTCAAATTTACACCGAAAGAATACAAAAAAAACCCCAAAAAAACATAAGAGTCTGTATTTTCGAATAATGACACAAGAAAAACATGCAGTGATGTCTGAGTGGAGTGGTGCAAGTCAATGGGGCAGAATAGCAGCTATAAAGCGACGCATAGAAATGTGCCATATCATTATGACCACCGGCGGGTGATTGAGTAGGTCTTTATTAAGTGGAAAGTCAGGTGCAAGTGAACATTTTGAAAACAAATTTGAGGAGTTAGAGGTAAGCATAAGACCTTGTTTAGTCCTGGGCAAGATCTGGTTTAGACCTGGTTTAGTCTTGGATTTAAACTGGGTTAGACCTGGTTTAGTCCTTGGTTAGACTTGATTTAGTCCTGGGTTAGACCTGGTTTAGTCCTTGTTTAGTCTTGGTTCAAACTGGTTAAGACCTGGTTTAGTCCTTGGTTATAACTGGTTTAGTCCTGGTTTAATCTTGGGTTCAAATTGGTTTTGACCTGGTTTAGTCTTAAATTTAAACTGGGTTAGACCTGGTTTAGTCCTTGTTTAGTCTTGGTTTAGTCCTTGGTTAGACTTGGTTTAGTCCTTGGTTAGACCTGGTTTAGTCCTTGTTTAGTCTTGGTTTAGTCCTTGGTTAGACTTGGTTTAGTCCTTGGTTAGACCTGGTTTAGTCCTGGTTTAGTCTTGAATTTAAACTGGGTTAGTCCTGGGTTAGACCTGGTTTAGTCCTTGTCTAGTCCTGATTTAGTCCTTGGTTAGACCTGGTTTAGTCCTGGGGTAGTCATGGGTTCAAACTGGTTTAGACCTGGCTGGTTTAGTCCTGGTTTAGTCTTGGGTTTAAACTGTGTTAGACCTGGTTTAGTCCTAGTTTAGTCCTGGTTTAGTCTTCGGTTCAGACAGGTTTAGAGTTGGTTTAGTCCTGATTTCGTGCACCTCCTGTGGTTTTCCAGTCTACAGTGTTCAGTCTCTGTTTGAAGTGCATTATGCCGGGTTTAGTTTGGGTTAGTTCTGGATATAGACCGAGTTTGTTCCTGGCTTAGACCTGGTTTAGTCCTGGTTTATTCGTCAGTTGCCTACAGAGATCAATCCTTAAAAGCGCTCAGATGACAAAAGAAGACATCGCTGACAGCTAGAAACCCGAAAGCACGGTGCATCACAATGCGATTCGAGATGATCACAGGAGATCTTTACATGTGAATCCTCCCCAATCTGATACAGTAACCAAAGCACAAAATGACTTCCACGCGGGACTGTAACAGAATGCTAATAAACGAAAGCTGGGATGGGAGTGAAAAACTTGTGGGAATGAGAGGGCTGGGGCTCGGCATGGCTCCAGGATATTTATCTTTGGAATCGCGCTGCCAATTAAAGCTGTTGCTAAGCTAACTGATCCATAAACAGCGCGCGGGTTTGGAGGCGCTGGAGGCGATGTAAGCCAGATAGGTTTATTTACCGCGGAGAGACACAGGGGAGATAATCAGGAAACAAAAGAGCCAGATATGACAGAAAATGGGACGCAAATTGTACTCTATCTCCCTGCACTGCTGTGTTGTCGTACATAGAAATGGTTTATCAAGTCGCCCAAATGAACTTGTCCTTTTGGCACCAATTTGAGGCTTCATTATTGGTCTGCTCTTGTGGGAGTTGTTCTACATATTTGAATTTTCATAAGAATGCGTTGTTCGAAAATAGTTCTACAGTTGCGTCGCCTGCTTGGATATTATCAATGCATATTCTGGCTATATGCATGCAAATGTAGAGAACTCGTAATGTATATATTGTTTATTAGAAGATGGCAAAAAACAGTCAATGCAACACAATTTTGCAATACTGCCAAATAAACAAATGAAGCACTAAACTCTTATGAATCTTTATGAATATTTTGCATTCTGCATTTGAGGGAAATGTGTTACAAATGACTCATGATCATGATCACTCTTATACTATATTCTTATACTCTATACCAGGGGTCCTCGTACCCCGGTACCAGGCTGTAGGTCGTTTGGTAACGGGCCGTGAAAGCGCGAACCCCCCTCCCATATGCCACATGGACCGTCCGACTGCCCCCCCTCCCCTACACCGCACGGACTGTCCCCAGTCCCGTACAACACACAGACTGTCCTCCGTCTCGTACTCCGTGCGGGTCATCCCCTGTCCTGTACGTTGTGTGGGCTGCACCACTAAACCAGATCTGAACCAGGACTAAACCAGGTCTAAACCACGATTAAAACAGGTCTAAACCAGGATTAAAACAGGTCTAAACCAGGATTAAAATAGGTCTAAAAACAGGACTAAACCAGGTCTAAACCAGGACTAAACCAGGTCTAAACCAGGACTAAACCATTTTTAAACCAGGATTAAAACAGGTCTAAACCAGGACTAAACCAGGTCTAAACCAGGACTAAACCAGTTCTAAACCAGGATTAAGACAGGTCTAAACCAGGACTAAACCAGGGTCTAAACCAGGATTTAGCCAGGACTAAACTATGCCTCTTCCCATATAAGCTTGATCAAAATGCCCTTCATACATTATACTGTTCATTGGTTCTGCCTTATTTCACATTTTGTGTTAAAGTGTGGGGGAACACTTAACAATGTACATTTAATCCACTGATTATATTACAGAAACGAGCTCTGCGAATTATCCATAAAGTTGGATTTTTAGAACACACCCATAATCCTTTTATTCAATCCGAGCTCCTAAAGATTAGCCTGATTGATCAGCCGGTTTCCACGAAGTGAAACCATCTGTCCTCGCAGCATTAGGATTAGTTTGCTCGATGGTAGATGGGTACTTACTTGGTCTTGACATATGTAATGCACCAATCCCGTAGGAAGAATGGCAATAACGTCTTTCCCCTTGATAAATTTCCCCAAACATTCTCTTCCGGCTTTAAATCCCATAAATTGTTGCCAACACAGAATGTCTGGCTTCATCTACATCCATCTCGACCGCTTTGTTTACTGTTGTGCTGTACCACAAAAGGGACCCAGACAGGCGTTTGAGTTTGAGGTCATGATGCTGATTGGCCGGTGCGCGGTTTACAACTTCCAGGGTTCTTGCAAACCATCTAGTGTATTCCGATTCTTGACCTAGTCGCTGAAGAGAAATGAAATTGGGCATTAGGTGGTGCCAGCTTGGCTACCTAAACATTTCTGACCTTGTTAAATATTATACATTTGTAATTTTATTTAGAGCAGTCAACAGTTTACTACCAAGTAAACTACAAAGCTTGTTCAAAATGAGAGAGAGAACTCTTAGGTTATGTAACGTAGGTTGACCGTGAGCGGCTTGGGGTTCAGTGAGCAAGGTTAAAAAAAAAATCCAGACACAGACAGGTAGATGTGGTCCACGGTTTACTTTGTTTTCCAATCATTACAAAAAGTGCAAGTGCAAAAAAGTGCAGGGAGCAAAATGGAGGCAGGCAGCAGTTTCCTCTCCAGCAGTAGATCCCAGACTGATGTTTGAAGGCGCCTTTTATGCTGGTCCTACTGATTTTATAAAACTACTATGCTAAAATAGGGATGGTAAAAATTATCATTAGCTTAAAATCATAACCTAAACCTCCATAAAACAACCCAAAACCAGATAACTATTAATACCACCAACTATCTACATAAACACCCTAAAACCATACACCAATTCAAAATTTTAAAACCCATAAACCAATACGTTAGGTAAAACGTTAGGTTTTACCTAATGTAAAACCTCTGTACAAAATAATACACACGGTCCAGCCCGGAACCTTAAAAGAGAGAGCTTGTTTCCGGGGGACTCTATTAGCACCTGGACAGAAGATAAAAAGGGAGGTAAGAAAAAGCAGATCCACACCATTCATTAAAACACAATAAAATCCACTAGTAAACACATCAACACTTAAAACATTTCAAAAACAGATATTGCACTACTTCAATTTAAAATGTAATTGGTAATTGTCTCCTTTTCCTCCAGGGATAAGCAGCTTCCAATCAAAGTGCTAATGTGCCTCAGGATTAAAAAAAATGTAAAAAGGAAGGACAATAAATATATTTAAACCAACTGTGTGCAATTTTTTTCGTCATGTGCAAATATGTTAAAAGTGCTGTTTGCTATGAAAGTGCAGTGTTTTAAAGTGTCCTAGTGAAGGGTGAAGGTACTTAGTGTAGTTCTGGTAACAAACCACTGGCTTGTTTGTTACAGGGTATTAGAAAACTTAAAGGGTATAGGAATTTTCAGTGTTCAAACAACCCGTAAACCCGTAACAGTCTGGATACACGTCTCAAGCAACGCCAAAATATCCATAAATTCAAGTTGTTATATAAACAGATGGTCTGGTCACAATATATAGAGAGTAGGTCTTAATCTTAGAAGTACGTATTAGTTCATATAGTTTAATGTATAGTATCTGAATTTTTTTATTAGAAGAGGGGGGTGGGATTAAATACATTTTCTTCTTCCCTTTTTTGTGGTTATTTTTATTATGATTTCACTAATGTTACATGTTCCATTGTATAAGAATGTACATCTTTACTTGCCCAAAATAAATACATAAATAATCATGTTTTTAGCCAGTGCTTTTCCTTCAAAGCACTTTCCGGGACTGCTTGCCTACTTACTGGGGGTGAAGTGGGTTAAGTGTCTTGCCTAAGGACACAACAACAGCATTCATCTGTGGGAGTTGGAGTTGTTTTTTTTCATGCAGAGAGCGGGATTCGTACCGCCAACCTTCAGATCAGAGGATGAGCACTCTACTAGCAAAGTTATAGTCCTGTTCCAGATCCTGTTGCATTCGAACAGAACGCAGGAGGGACAGGCTCACCAAAAATAACAAATATGGCAACATTTTAATGGAAAAGTCTAGTTTGGCATTCTGATATTATGCCTTTATTGGCCAGTTTTCTTGGACTTTGGGGTAGTTTAATCTGCTGCTTTTCTCACTATGAACCCAAATCTTTATGCTACCTTTTAAAATATATATACTAATGTCTGTAATGTTGTTGTTTTTTTTGTTACAGGAGATTGGGGTGATTGGGAATGACAGAAACTGGAAGGGCATCGGGATCTCTCTGCTGGTGATCGTGGTGGTCCTGTCTCTCATCGGACTGTCCATCGTCGTACTCTCCAGAGGTCTGTATAGTACTACACTACTGCTTGTTTCCATATGCTTTTTTTTAGATCTGAAGTATAATGTGACTGTGTTTCTTTTAGATGATGGAGGAAAGCCCTTTGTCATTCCACTCACAGTCGATGACCTCTTTGATCCAAACTTCCAGATACACGATCCACAAACAAAGTGGATTAATGGTAAGACTAACTAACTAATTAATAGTTTTGTATATTAAGAAACTGACATATGCCAGAAAAGTTAAAGGTCCTAATATTACACAAACTTGTTATATTTATTTCAGTAGATTCAGAGATTGGAAATTCAAGGTCTGAAATTATCCACATTTTCTTTAAAGAGGTGATATTGTGCAAAATTGATGTATTGTGCTTTCTATCATGTTATAACGTTGTTCCCTCATCAGAAACATGCCTAAAGAGGTTTTAGATGTCATCCATGCATGTTTGAATAATTTAGTGATCTCTCCCGTGGCCTATTCGAACTGTCCTTACGGTTTAGCTGTAAGATTCTGTCCAATGCTCAGCTCTCAAGCCTGCATGCTCCCACACCACAATTCTCCAGAAACATACAAAAACATGAAAGAAAACTGTTAAGGGTGTAACAGAACATGTTTCAGTACAGAACATTTGATTCGCTGCAGGGCTGTGCACGAGCGAATTTGCACAATTTGTGTGTGTGTTTGCATTCCGACACTACATGTGCAGCTACATGGAAGGCTCAGGCTCTTTAATATTCACAAGGGAACTCGTCCATGATTGGGGTGGCAGTGTTTCCCGCAGTGCTTTATAGTTAGGGCAGCCGCCTTGTCAACACTTGCCCCCCACCTTGATTACGTCTGTCTGAACCATGTGAATCCTTTCAAAACTACAGTGTTGTTGTGCCGCAGCCTCACTTTCACCTTTTGCCGGAACGGAATTTTCTTGAAAAAAATGTATTTACTGTTTACAAGGAAGGAAAGGAATTTTATTAAACCCATTAGTATTACCAAGCAGCACTTTGCATTTATTTTATTTTCCTGTTTGTATAATGTTAAAACAAATTTTTAGTTTAATAAACACACAAATAAACAACAAGCAAATAGCATTTTGTTCCCATACTGTACCGAAAATGAACCGAACCATGACCTCAAAACCGAGGTACGTACTGAACCGTGATTTTTGTGTACCATTACACCCCTAAAAACTGTGCACCGCAACTTGACAAACATGATGCAATGTGCGGCAGCTTCATTAGCAGAATGCACTCTGCCTGTGTTGTGATAGGGCTCTGAAGGGGTAGTGACTTAACACAGAGACCAAAGGGAGAGAAGAGCCAATAGAAGTTAAACACGCTCCCCCTCTAAAGGTTTCCAACACTGAAACATGATAAAGAGCCTCACTAACCACAGCCTCAGAATGACAGAGCTCTCTGTAGATTTCCTACTTAGTCAAAACTAATCTTTGTGTCTTTTACCTATATTTCCCCATAGATTCTCTCCATTGTATTTCAGTGTGGGAGAGAATCCAGTTATTTTGGCTCTGATTGACACTTCTGTGCTGTTCAAATGACATTTACATGAAACCTGGGAGCCTGGATTGATTTAGTCCTGTCATAAAATATACCGTAAGGCCCCTTTGGACTGTTATAAGGTTTTCTCTAGAGTTATCTTTGTTTTATCTGTCAAGGTTTGAAGAGCACACGGCCTCTCTGTGCCAAATATTTCTTAAATGAATCTTTGTTTTGGCTGCTTCCTTCTTCTCCTTTCAGTCAGGCCCTCCATCTGTCCTTCATCTCATTCTGCGGATACAAGATTTGAGGGCTTTATCAAATGTTACCTTTTGTAATATGAGCACATTTCAACTGTTAAAAAGTTGCAGTAGAGACAATGTTGTAACTTTCTTTTATGGTCTACACTTGGTCTTGGTTTGGTCCTTGTTTAATCATGATGTAGACTTGGTTTAGTCCTGTTTTGGTCCTTGTCTATTACTGGTTTAGTTCTGGGTTTAGTCCTTATATTGATGTGGTATAATTTATGTGAATACTAAATTTATATTTTTAAATTTACACTAGAAGAAGCCAGCTAAACAGTTACTGTTAATGCTTTTATGCCCAAACACCACTCCTAAAACTATTCACTTTCAAAATTCTGATTTAAATTTCAAATGAGATACAATTTTGAGTTCATTTTTTTCCATGAAACCTTAAAGAAGACATCCTATATAGTTATATGTTATAATCTGCACATTTTAAATTGTGATATTCATTTAAAACAACAAAATAAAAGCAATAAATCCACTGATGTACATGATACTACAGATTAAAAAACTGCGGTGCCCAGTGGGAGCTGATGTCACTGTAAACATCGTCACAACAAAGAGCCAGGCAGTTGCTGACACTTCCGATGAATAGCTACAGATCACACTACAGATTATGAAAATAAAATAGGAGAAAGTGCAGGGCAGTGGTCGTATATTGGTGGCAGTGAAAATGACTTCTATAAAGGAGTATAAAGATTACTCAAACATGTTTAAATCATGTTAAACACATCTTAAATGAGAAGAAGAAACAACTATAACATGGTTAAAAACTCAGCAATTTTGAGTTGATTTGAACAATAGATCTTCTTTAAACTTTTCCTCTTGATTTTTGTTGTAGATGAGGAGGTGATCTTCAGGTCATGGGACGGCACTGTGTGGAGAGCAAATATTCACAACAATGAAACCAGCCTCCTGCTCAGAAACACCACTTTTGTAAGTACACAATTATAGCAGTAGTAGTAGTAATAATAGTAGCAGCAGTGGGGACTTGGACTCGAGTCAGACTTGAGTCACTATTTTTAGGACTTGAGAAGCACTTTTAAATCTGAATTCTTTCTATTCTGACCGTAATGATTCACACTATGATCTTGTCAAAACTTTTAAAGGAAAAATGTGCATTTCTACAACTCTTATATACTCGATTAGATTTTTTTTTTCATATAAATTACAAAAATCTAAGCTATGTTTGGTGTTTTGGACTTGACTCAGACTTATGGGCCAGTGACTCGAGACTCGACTTGGACTTGCTTGTATTTGATTTGGGACTTGACTTGGACTTGAGGTGAAAGACTTGAAACTTACTTGAGACTTGTAAACCAACGACTTGGTCCCACCTCTGAGTAGTAGTAATAGTAGTAGCCTAAATAAAATGTATATTCTTGCTAGAACTTTTAAAATGTACTTAATGTACTTAATAGAACTGAAATAGTCATAAAAATATTAATTACAGAAGCAACATGATATATAAACTTTTCACTATTCAGAAGATCCATGTTTTAGTTTTGACGTGTCAATTGCTATGGCAACAGTTCTAATTATTCATCATTTTGAAATCATGGATATCATATTTATTGACACAAATTAATCACAGTGTTACCAGAATCGTTATAATCAGAAAGTACAAATATGATTAAACACAGATTTGTCATACGCAGTGGTTTAAGACCTCAGTTGTCATCCATAAGAGGACAAAGTCATATGTGAGATGTGCACACTACTCTAATGTTCTTTTTGGGTTTTTTTAGGCCACTTTTAAAGCCTCAAAGTTCTGGGTGTCTCCGGATCTGAGCTTCATCCTCCTGGCATACGACGTGAGACCGGTAAGAGCTGTATTCTCTTCTTTCTCTTTCTCTCTCTTTCCCTCTCTTTGTTTCTCTAAGTCTTTCTACCTTCCTCTTTTTTCTCTTTAGCCCCTCTCTCCCTGTCTCTCTCTCTCTCACCCTGTCACTCTCTCTCCATCCCTATCTCTTCCACTCTCTATCTTCCCTATCTCTTCCTTCCTCTCTTTCTCTCTCTCTCCACCCCCCCGACCCTGTCTGTCTGTCTCGTTTCCTCTGACCCTCTCTCGCTCTTTCTATATCCCTCAGTCTCTCTCTTTCTCTCTCTGTCTCTCTCCCTCTCACCCTGTCTCTCTCCTTCCCTATCTATCTCTCTCTGTGTGTCTCACTCATTCCATATCAGTCAGTCTCTCTCTGTCTCTCTGTGTCTCGCTCTGTGTCTCTCTCTCAGTTTGTCTCTCAGTTTGTCTCTCAGTTTGTCTCTCAGTTTGTCTCTCAGTTTGTCTCTCAGTTTGTCTCTCAGTTTGTCTCTCTCTCAGCTCAGCCCATAGTCTCTGTGTTGAAGAAAAGACTCACATAAAACCCAATGGCCCTGGACCACATGACCCCAGCTCTGCGTCTGATTGGCTCCTGTGGTCTGTGCATGGACCGAATCAGGATCACTCCATTCAGTTCCCAATCAACAACCAAAATGTTCTTTTCAGTATTCTCGCAGTGACCGATGTGCCTGGGCTCACAGTTTCAAGAGATCTGGTGAAAAAAGCATTTTATATTATTTTTTCATGAATAAAGTTGAATAAATGTTGAGTGACAATTAAGAGTAAGCATTATTCATAATTTGAGCAGACAGGAGTACTTCATGGATGTAAACAAGTCCTGGTGCTCTTCAGTGCGCTGATCACTTTCACTTCTGTGAAAAGAGAAGTATAATTGAAAACCATCTTACCTGTTTTTCATTTCTATTTATTTGGGGAAACAAATCAAACTGAAAATAGTAAAATGACTGAATGGATAAAAATGTTTTTGCCATACTGCAGTAGTAGCAGTAGTAGTAATAGTATAACTTTAACTTCTTAGTAGTAGTAGTAGTAATAATAGTAGTAGTAGTACTAGCAATAGCAATGGTACCAACAGCAGCAGTAGTAGTAGTGCTGCTGGTACTAGTACTACTATTACTGCTACTGTACCAGTAGTAGTAGTAGTAGTAGTAGTACTACTACTAGTAGTAGTAGTAGCAATAGTAGTAGCAATAGTAGTAGCAATAGTAGTAGTAGTAGTAGTAGTAGTAGTAGTAGTAGTAGTAGTAGTAGTAGTAGTAGTAGTAGTAGCAGCTGTAGTAGCAGTAGTATCAGTAGTAGTATTTATAATAATAGCAGTAGTAATAATAATAGCAGTAGTAGTAGGACTAGTAGTAGTAGTAGTAGTAGTAGTAGGACTAGTAGTAGTAGTAGTAGTAGTAGGACTAGTAGTAGCAGTAGTATGACTGCTACTACTACTTTAGTAGTAGTAGCAGCAGCAGCATCATGAGTAGTAGTAGTTGTAGTAGAAGTATCAGTAGTAGTAGTAGTAATAGTAATAGTAGAAGTATCAGTAGTAGTAGTAATAATAGTAATAGTAGTAGTAGTTGTAGTAGTATTAATAATAATAGCAGTAGTAATAATAATAGTAGTAGTAGTAGTAGTAGTAGTAGTAGTAGTAGTAGTAGTAGTAGTAGGACTAGTAGGACTAGTAGTAGTAGGACTAGTTGTAGTAGTAGTCGGACTAGTAGTAGTAGTAGTAGTAGGATTAGTAGTAGGACTAGTAGTAGCAGTAGTAGGACTAGTAGTAGTAGTAGTAGTAGTAGATTAGTAGTAGGACTACTAGTAGTAGTAGTAGTAGGATTAGTAGTAGGACTAGTAGTAGCAGTAGTAGGACTAGTAGTAGCAGTAGTAGGACTACTAGTAGTAGGATTAGTAGTAGGACTAGTAGTAGCAGTAGTAGGACTAGTAGTAGTAGTAGTAGTAGGATTAGTAGTAGGACTAGTAGTAGCAGTAGTAGGACTACTATTTGTAATTGCGCTGGATTGTGATGGTCATTTTTAAATACATCCATCTTCTTCTTCTTCTTCGTTCAGTAAAATGTTGACATGAAAACACATGTCAAACGCTGATAAAGCCACACAGGTCTGGCTTCTTTTGTGCACATCTTTATTGAACACCTTTTATCAGACCTCTTTTAGATCACACGATTTCAGACTCAGATAGGAGTTCCCATTTTCTCTGCAAAGTGAAAAACAACATCCCCATCCATCGTCCAATCAGATCGCCCGAAACACTTCCCCCTTTTTCCCCGTGGAGTTTGCTCTAAAAGGTAATATGGCAGAACAAACAGGGAGCAGGCGTGTGTCCCGGCTCCATCATTGGACATGGAGTTTACACAGGGAAGTCATCGCATTATCGGCTCCACCAAATCTGCACCACACGGATTAAACGCCGCCCAATCGTCCAACTCCAAGTCTGCTTTTCCAAATTTAAATCAGTCCAAGAGCGAATGGGTTTGGGATAAGGGCAAGGAAAATAGCCATATAAAAAATAAAAAATAAAAATAGCTGCGAGATCAGTCAAATCAAAATTTTAATTAGAAAATCGCAACAACTGCAATTATTTAAATGTGTGTTGTGTGATTTTTCTGGTGGAAGGTTTGTTAAATGCTTTTCTTTGTTAAGATGCTATTGCTTTGTTTGGAATGTTTCACAGTATGGTGTTAAATCTTTCTTTCTTCATGGCGACAGACCCAGACCAAGTTACAGGTCAGATCTGTGGAGAGGTCTACCACCACTCACAGTCAGAATGCCTGTATTTCCAGGTACTTGTGAGCTATAAATCTACCTGTAATTAAAAAATTATAAATAAATAAAAACAAAATAAGGTAGAGCTGATACATCTAGTCGGAGAAATGCATTTGACAGACCTTCCGCCAAAAAAGATACACAATGTTCATATTTCCATCTTCTCATGAAATTGAAATAGTAAATGCAAACCAACTGACAGTTTACTTGATTAACAGATTAATGATTTAATATTGTTTAGTTTTCGTAAGATTCATACTGCAAAAACCAAAAAGCACATTTTTATACAAAAGAGTAAAATGGGATAAGAAGTTGCATATATGTTTTATGAATTCTTTCCAAAAACATACAGAGTCTGGACAGGTCCAAAATAAGTGAGAGGTGGTTTCATTTTTCAGTTTGCAAAATGAACAGTTTGTGTCCATTGTCCTTTTAAGATGATTCTTTAGCAGATAACAGTGATGTAAAAGTTAGTAGCAGATTGCACTTTGTTTGTTGATGATGAGATTTACTCAGACATGTTTAAATCATGTTAAATACATCTTTGAGAGGGTGAATGAGAAAAAGAAACAACTACAACTAGGTTAAAAAACTAAAAATTTGATTGGAACAATAGGTTTGTTTTAAACTCTTCCTCTTGATTTTGTGTTGTACTCAGAGATTGTGAGGTCATGTCAGTAGATTTTTCCATGGAATATTGTCAATAGAGTCTGACTGCTACAGCGCACGAGTAGGGCTCTGTTTGGGAGGTGCACTTGTGGAGATAGTCACTCTTTTTCTGCTGCGACTCATTATAAGACAAGTTTAATTAAAGATGAAGCCAAGTAAGTTCCTTTTGAAAAGTTTTTCAAAGTTTGGTGTGCCTGCTCAAGCCGCCATCTTCGTGTGCTGGCCCTGTCCTGCCGCTTCCCCAGTTTAGGCTCCTGACACCACTAATGACATCACTCTGTTGCAGCAAATGAAATAGCGGCAGGAGTAACCCTGTCGTCATCACTGAATATATCTCAGAACGTCTAATAAACAAAACATGAACTAAAACGTGTTAAATGAATACTATTGAGTTTGGACAAATATCTGAATAAATGTATATTTTTGTTTACTAAAATAAAATGGCAAATATAGGTAGAGACTATTTTGTCTTCCCCAAATATTGGTTGTGACACGTCCCCACCATCCCTATGCAAACCTACACCCTTGGTTTTGTAGTGCTGCATAATGATCGAATAAAACTACTACTACTACTACTACTACAAAAAACAAAAAAAACACACACTCAAAAAATTAACCTACTTTATTTAAGATGCAAAACTTTTCCCACATTCTCAGCTGAAATAATTGGGATTCCTGTTTAACCAGAAGTGCAACCATAAAAAAGCACGGATAAAGAGCATTTAGAGACAAAAGTGGACGGGGCAGAATAAAGTGGATACGATTATGAAAATGTAAGATATTAGATATTTAAAAGTGCATTATGTAACTTTAATTTGACAACTCTTCACCTGCTTGTCTCCACAAAGATGTTCTTACTCCTCCTGGAATGTTTCACGATATGAAAACAGTATTATCGCCATAGAGACAAACACGTTACGATGCCAGTCACAGGTCACATCTGCGGAAAGGCAACCCTGCTTATAGTAAGAATGTGCATTTATCTGGTATTTCTGAACAAAACAAAAGTGACGTTAATTTAAAAAAAAAGATAAAAAAAAAAGACATTGTGGAGCACCTCACCGCCCCAAAGGTTACATAATGCACCTCTAATCTCACATTTTCAATACTAAAATTACAATTTGAGCAGATAGAAAGCCTCATGGTCCAACTGTGAGTATAACATGTAATCCCCGTGAAGCCGTGACAGTTTGAATCTAAAAATAGGCCCAGCTGTTCACACAAAGCTCCAGAACTCATTATGATTTCAACACACAGAGGTCAATGGAGCTCCTGTCTAAACAATGCACTGCTCTCCCCGTCAGGCCTGGCTTCACATCAGCTGCTCAAATCACTAGATGTTTTTGGATCCATTTCACTATGCAAATATTTAAAATTAGGCCCTCGAGCACATGGCGTGGTCGTAATAGGTATCCTCGGATATCGGCAATAAGTGCGTTTCATTTGTTTTGCGTGGAGAGGTGTGGAAATGTAGAGCGAGGTAAACTGCACAATAAATGGCTCTAATGAGATTAAACAGGACTTCCATTTTTCCTGATAGGATTTG